GCCCGCAGCGCCCCCGCGCGGAGGCCCGCCCGCCGGCCCGGGAGGGCACGTTCCTCCGCCTCCGCCTCTTTTGTAAACCGCACTGCATGAGATGTTTCCGCAGCCGTTTGGGTTATGCCGCAGGCTCCGCACAGTGCGCTTCGGCCCGGGCCGGGTCCGGCCTGGCTCGAGTCTGAGGTTCGTCTCCTCTTCCCGCAGGTGGAACTGGTGCCTGACCGAGACCCGGACAACGACGGGACCAAGATCAGTGTGAGTATCACGGCGACAGGGCGCGCGGGCCTTGTCAGCGGCCGGGAGGCCCAGTGAGTATTAGGTAATGAAGTTTAGGTTATTAGCCTTTTAATTCGGTGTCCCTAAAAAGGCGGTTTCGCAAACACAGGTCGAGAGTCACTTTTCCTTTCTCCTTCACTGGGTACATAACAATTGAAGCAGATTTAGAGTTGATACAATAAAATTACTTGTAAATATTTAAACAATTACTAGAGAATCATTTTGCCACCCAAAGCGGTGTGACACTTTTGTCCTTGCTCTTTTTAACAGTTACATAACTGTAAAAGCGTAAGGCTGCAATGCTAATGTCCATTCAAAACTATAGGAATAATCACTCTTTAATGGGAAGTAAAACACTAACATATGAAAATCTCCCTAGGTAGAAAAAATTAAAGCATCCAACAGGATGTTGAAATTGTAATGAAAACAACTCAATTTTCAACGTTTGTAACGCATGCAGTGTCTTTCTAATGCCAATGTTCAAATCTTATAAATATAAAACCAAGAGCTAATATAAATATAAAACCATAATTGGAGGAGGTCAACTTATTGAAAGTATAGAGATGAGTTTCTACTTGTTATTACTTTTTATAAATGTGTGTGAAATGAGAAAAAAAAAAAAGAAAATCTTATTTTTTTTCCTATACCTCAAACGAGGCTACATAGAATCACTTCATATTAATAGAACTGCTTAACTTGTTGATAAATAGTAAACAAGTTTCCACTACTAGAAATGAAATAGTTATATAATAAGAAAGGAGGATGTCTGCTAAGCATAAATATATTATATAATATCTTAGGAATCTAAAAATCCAATGACACATTTAAAAAGGAAATTTATTCTGAGGCTTTTACAATAGCATAAAGTGGTATAAGATTGGAGTTACATCATAATTAAAAGTATAAAAATATATTGTACTTACAGAATAAAATTATGTAATCTAAATGTATAATCTCAACATGAAAGAAAATATCAAACAAAAATGAGAAACTCCCATTTATATTCATAAACTCACTGACTTTTTAGAATATTTCAATTCAATTATTCTTATACCACAGAAACTCTTGTTTTCAGGCAGTGATAGAAAAGCTTTATTGGTAGGATTAATAGTTAACAATTTTTTCTTAAATATTTCACTTTTCATACACACATATAATTGGATAAATTGTTTATTGACTATTCGTCTTTCACCCTTCACCCATGCCCATGTCCTCCAAAGACCAGGGATGAAACAGCCTCACACGCGCCGACCTAGGGAAGCATACAATCAGATACAAAATCACGCACACAGCTGCTAACAGTAGTATCTAGGCCAATAGTTCATAAAAGCTAGTGGATTGGAAAGAGTTCTAGATACAAACTGTAGAAAGTCATTTGTTCCCAGTTGACCCACCGTGTGACCTTGAACATATATCCTAAACTGACAGTTGTTGCTTAGAATTCCCAGGAGAGCTTTTATAAAATACTGATACAAGCTTCACCCCTTAGAGATGCAGACTTAATGTTTCAGCATTAATCCAAGTGAGAACATCTTCTAAGAGCTCCTCAGAGGATTCTCATGTGCAGTGTTAGGAATCACTGACCCAAACCCACTGGGCCTCAGTTGACTGTAGAATAGGATCATCATAGTATAAGTGCTCTGACTACCTCAAACTTTATTAGGAGACTCAGCTGAGAAAGTATTTGAAACTATTGATTTCCATTATTTTTATAGTATTAGTATATTTATATGTAATTTTTCATACACATAAATATATACTTACGGTTGTGGTTCAAATGTTCAAAACTGTTTGTATATACAACTCTATATGTAAAAACAGATGAACACTTCCCACGTTTTCTTAATTATTTACAGCTATTTGAAAGTGTAGTGACCAGTAGCATAATAACTTTTGGCCTTCATTACTTCTTTTCTCTATATTTCAAAATCATCCAAATCTTTAATTCCTGAATGTCTTATGAAAGCCATCATTTTGTCAAACATGGATACTATATAATATATATCAAATCTAGCTGTTCTGATAAAGATGCTTATGGATATATATTACATATTATATAAAATTTTATATGTTATACATAATCTTATATCAAATATAAATATTATCCTATTAATCTAGCATAAAAATTATTAGAAGAAATACGATTTGAATTTTGAAAAACAAACCAGTGTTTAATTAATGACATCTCAAGTTCCAGTAGCATAAAGACCCCTGGTGCTCTGAGGGGTGTGTACTCTGAGCCATGTGACTTCAGGTGATGTTAGTCTGCACCCTGAGCCATGGGCCCCATGACTGCAGGTCAGAACGCACCAAGTCTGTGCTGTCAGTACCTTAGGAGTCATCTCAACGTGGGGTAAAAGCACATTCTCACTTAAGCTCTGTCGTGACCAACAAAATATTTTTGTGATCTCTCAGAACTGTAGCTGCAGTGAAGAAGAGAAGCTGTGTGAACTATAGACTCGACCCCATTAGGTTCCTGCGTCTTTCAGTTGAGCTAACCAGGCAGAGGCCAGTCCCATGGCTGGAAAGTGGGAGAGCTGCTGCTGGAACCTGGGAAACGGGGACACAGGCTAATGGAATCTGGTGCTGGCCGGATTGAACTAATTATTCCATGATCTTGGGAATCCAGTTGTGCATAGAATACATGAGACCTTCAGATTTGACTGCTGAGAAAATAAAAAGCCCTCTGACTGTGGCTGTGAGGCCATTAAGACCCTTTAATTTTCCAACATTAGTAAGCACCAGACAGTGTACAGGAACAAAATCATTTGATGTAGCACTTTATTTTTTTACCTGCAATTTTTCAGACAGTGAAAGTCCAAGGCAATGACATCTCTCACAAGCTTCAGATTTCCAAAGTGAGGAAAAAGGATGAAGGCTTATATGAGTGCCGGGTGACCGATGCCAATTACGGAGAGCTTCAGGAACACAAGGCCCAGGCCTACCTGCAAGTCAACGCCAACAGCCATGCTCGGAGGATGCAGGCCTTCGAAGCCTCGCCCATGTGGCTGCAAGATGTGAAGCCTCGCAAGAATGTCTCTGTGGCCGTTCCCAGCAGCATCCACAGCTCTGCCAACCAGCGGATGCACCCCACCTCCAGCCCTCAAGCGGTAGCCAAAATCCCCAAACAAAGTCCACAATCAGGTATGGAAACCCATTTTGAGCCTTTCATTTTACCACTCACAACCCCTCCATAGGAAGATCAGTCAAGTAGAGTAGACAGATGTATGTATGACGGTTTTTAAAATTGGAGACCTAGTTCAGTTGAAGTAAGAATGAGACAGGAGACACAGAGAGCCTGAGGCTGGCTTCACAGAGGATGTGAATTGCCCCACTAGTGGCTGGCAGTGCTTCATGTCCAGAGGATCTAGGAGCTGGACTCTTTTTCTCCTTCTGTATTTGCACATTGTAAGAACAATAAATCATGTGATGTTGGTTGCATTCTAAAATGCATGTTCATTTTCTCTACAGATTTACATGTTGATAATGACCCAAATTAAGGGAATTTCACTTAATCAAAATGTAAATGAAAGAGAAACACTATGTTTTCAGCAACCCATAGGTTTCAGCAGGGCTGTTCTCCAAGGGCTTTTGATTTTGAAGGAGAAACTTCAGCTGCCTGTTGCAAGTGGTGATGATATTGGGAGGAAGTGAGGGGATGAAAGGCAGCAAGTGGTGCAGTGATAGAGCAACTGCTGTAAATGTGCCTTTGATGCCATTTCAGAAGCTTAGTCACGCGTTTCCTAAGTCAGCTGTGCAAGTTAAAGCTGTTCTGAATAGCATTAATTTATGCAATCATCCAGCCAGTGGAAACTCATGGAAGTTTTAACCTTGATGTGGGGTGAGCAGTACCCTACGTGACCTCAGGAATGTTCTGTATTTTTATCAAACACTTGGCATAGTATAGGACAAAGGGAGCGTAAAAATATTTAATCTATCTTTCTTTAAGTTTTTGTCTTTACGTTTTATCATTGAAGAATTATTGATACTACTATTGGTAATAGAGACTTATATTGCCAACACTCAAAGTCTCTTTAGCCATTATATTAAAAAATCTGGTCACTTCATCAGGATGATTTGCAGGGAGCTTGGCTTTTAGGGCCCTGCAAGTTTGCACTGCTTTTAAATGTAGGTGAGCAGCTATCCCGGCAGCCTGGGTCACAGCAGTTTATGTCAGTCTGACAAATGGATAGCTCGGCCTCTCTGAAGCCCAGTTTGTGTGGCGATGTCTTATTTTCATCTTTATCATCTCTTTTGTTTTACAAATTAAAGAACAAAACCAGTATAGCTAGAAAATGTATGTGTGTGTGTGTGTGTGCGTGTGTGTATATACATATACATATATAACAAATACATTATATATATGCACCTAATGGTTATAATTTTTATAACCATTATTTGATAAAGATTTAATGTCTTTGGAGGTATTGCCCTCTCCCCTTCATGCTATCAAAAGAGGAAACTAGACACTATATGCAAAATTACAAAGTACCCTCAACAGACAATTTATGACCTAATTAGTGAGATCTCCAAATCATGGAAGGGAACTTATTAGCCTACATAGAATATTCCAAGCTAGATGTCCTAAATCCATTCTGTAGAATAAAATCACACAAATTACCTATTCCAAGTGAAGGATTCTAAGCATGGAATGAAATGTTCTATCTATTTCTACACTATTTACTTTTTGGATTAAATAATGTACTCTAAAAATATCTATTTTAATATCTCTCTCTTAGCATTGTGATGGGAGCTGAATGGTAAGCTCTAGATATCTTCTGACAATTTTCAGATAAAAATCACTGCTCATTTTCCACCCCACCACCTGCCTCACTCATTGCTTTTTCTAGAATGAGGGTGAGAGGAGGGAAGGAATGATGACTCGTGGAAGCCTGTGTTCATTAAAAGCCTTTTCTGCTAAAAGTTATCTGCTTATAACAAAGATTAATCTGAAATATATCACAATTTTTAATTTCTATTTTTTTGCCAGTGAATACTGGAAAATATTTTATGTACTTCTCACAACATTTTCTAACTTCTAGTTCAGAAGCTGGGGTGGCACAGCCACCCTTTCTATTCATGTGTAAGTTTCTGTGCTTGCACAATTATTATATAAAACACGGTATCTGGGATGGATATTTATATATTATATTCACTGTAATACCCACATTCTGATTTATAATTTTGCCAGGTGATATTCAAATAAAGCTGATTTCAATATCCCTGCTTCATTTATTCACTCATTTATTCACTCTCCATCCTTTCAAGAGCTTTTGTGCCAGTATATTGACTCAAAAATGGAAGACACACTTCTCTTCAAAGAATTTATATTTTAATTTGTGAGAAAACAAAATATTTATAAATTCCATTTATCATGCATCTTTCTTTTCTTATTCTATTAAAGGAAAGACACAAAAATTAAAATCTTGCTTATTTTCACTTAATGCAAGGAGGCATGCTTCATCCTTGGAATACATGACACTGTTATATCAACCTGTGTTACAAAAGACTGGTCTATCTGGCCTATTATTTTCATCATAGTCTTTGACTTAGTTGACTGAATTATTTAGACTGAAATACTCAACTCTAATTCATACTATTTTTCTCTCAAGAATTTCTATGTCTCTGTAAAGTATTACCTGAAAATAACTTTGTATATATTCATACCTATAATGTTCAAATTGTCATACAATTAACCAGTTTTCCTAAAGTAAAAATTTACATGAAAAAAGATAGTCTGTTGCCATCTACATATCACAAGATAAAAGATTTAGCTGTCATTTAATATAGCCAGTCCCATATCTTTTTCAAATATTTCTCCAAAAGTTAGTGAGCATGTGACTATCCCCTCCTACTTGAAACTGTTTATGTTTATAACATCTCTTTTTAAATTCTTTTAACTCTACCTCCATTTCTACTTCCAGTTAGAACCAAAATAATGAAGAAAAATGATAAAGCAAACAGACAAACAGAACTTGGCTTTTGCAATCCCTTAAAAGTTTCTCATGTCTGATTCTTTTGAACCCTCTCCAGTTTTGTGTACCCATAACTAATTTTGAAGCTGTTGTGAGGAGGGGGAATTCCTGATTCCAATATGGAGTAGTTTAATTCTGTCTTCAGAAAGAGCACAGAGACTTACCTGAGCTCCCTGCCCTCCACCACATCCCCAAATACCTCCATATACTACACCATTCTCTACTCATTTTTTCCTGTCTTATCAAGTCTCTCCATTCCTTTCAGAAGCCAGACTTCCCCTCCATAAACCACCCCTCCAGGCCTTCCTTTGTTCCTCTCTGTCTTCTTTCCCCTCTACTGGTCTCTTCCCTGTACACTTACAAATAGGCAAACAAAACAGTTCATTCAGGCCCCTGCACCTGCCCTTCCCAAGCCTGGCGTTACATCCCACTCCCCTTCCCCTGCCCAAGGTGCACACCCCCTGCTGCCAGCCACCCTCCTGCAGAGGGCGCTGTACACGTCTGCTCATCTCCCTGTCCCTTCTTGTCAGCCCTGCTGGAAATGCTCTCTGGCCAGTCATTGGTCTCCTCAACTCCCAGTCCCGGCACCTCTCGTTTCTTCTCCTGCTCAGTTTCTAGGCAGCATTTGTCCACTCGTGCCCTGTTTCTTGGTTGTTAGCCTTCCCCTCTCTCTTTGTTGGCTTCTCTCCTGAATTCCTCTCCTAAATGTAGTTCTTTTCTCTTTCTTAACTCCCTGAACTTCTTATCCATTTCTGTGGTGTTAACTGCTAACTTTTCCATTGAAAACCCATTCACGTTTCTAATTCTGATTTCTTTCTGGAAATCTAAACAAGGATTTGCTGTTGTCCCCAGAACATCTCCGCATACGTGTCTACAGGCACTGTGGCAGAGTAGAGATGGCTGCACGTTTGCTGACACTCCCCCATTAAGCTGTGGTGCCTCTTTTCCCCCCTTGAACCTGGGCTGGCCTGTGACCACTTTGACAGTAAGGTATGAAGAAGTAATGCTATGCGAGTAATGCTAGCTTTGAACAGGACTGGCAGCTTCTGCTGTAGCTTCTTAGAAGCCAACCGCCATATAAGAAGTGCACCTAGCTTGAGACCGCCTTATCGAGTGAAGCCCACACCATCCTTTCACTTCAGCCGCAGCTGCTGTTTCACTGCAGCAGGAGAGACCCCAAGCAACACTGCCCAGCTGAACCCAGCTGACACATAGACTCCTGAAAGATAATAATAAATTGTCGGTTTAAGGCACTAAGTTTTAGGGTGGTTTGTTTCACAGCAGTAGATACCCACATCAGGCACCTAAACTCAAATATTCAAAACTGAATTTATCATCTTAGCTCTCTCACCAAAAGGAAATGTTCTTCTCATGTTCCCAAATTTTTAATAACGTCATCACAATCACAGATCTGATGGAAACTTTGAAAATGGTCTTATCTCCTCTTCCTTCATCAGTTCCTCACTGAATTAGTCATTCATTTCTACTAATGGTGTCTTGACAATATCCTTGAGCAACTGCGTCTTTTCTGGTCCACCGGCACTGGCTTAGTTCTCACTGTAGGCCCTCTGCACTGTTCCAGCAGCTCCTAATAGTTTCCTTGTTTCAACTCTAATACAAGGAACAGATCACAGCAGAGCAAGTATTAAATAATTACTGTTTCCAAAGCACCATCACTATCATGGTCTAGTTTCCAGCCTTGTTTCTCCTGAGTTCCTAATCCTCACACATAATCCTCCTAATTGGTATTTCCTGAATGTTTTCAGAGACTTTCTTACCTCTGTGACTTTCTTACCTCTGTGACTTTGCAAATGCTGGGTTTTTTGTGTGGGTCTTTCCCTGTTTGCTGAGTTCCTACTCAAATGCAAATTATCTTCTAAAGCTTTCGTCTTAGAATTGGTTGTTTGCTCCTTCAGGTCTCCACAGCAATATGTTCAGGCTTACTTTGAAGCCATCACTGTGCCTTGTTATTGTAATTTTTCGATGTGGCTTTCCTCCTTCTAGTGCGGGAATCCCGCCTTCTAGGAAACCTCTCAGTCTCAGGCACAACAGGATAGTTGCCTACCCTAACGAAAACTTCTTGGAGACAAACATTACAACTTGCATTTGAAATTCTCTAAGTGCCTGGAACAAGCAGAGCTCATGTTTGGGGGAGAAAAGGGAAAGAGA